GAAGGATAAATTTGAGTCATTTGTCGGGAAAGTAGATGCACCTTGAGAGTGCAATGTTAAGTGAAATAAATCAGACACACAAGCTTAACTAGCACATAGTTTCTCTTATATAGGAAACCCAAAGTATAATCAAATTTAAAAGGAAGATAAAAGACATAATAGGAAACAGGGAGATGGATTTTTTGCAAATGGCAAGAGGACCAAGACATGGAGGACAAAGGAAAAGAGGGACGGGAAGAGGATGTAAAAAGAATTAAGCCATATTATACACGTGTACCAACTCCCCACAATGAGTGCAATCATTATTTACCGCAAAGACATATAATAAAAATAAAACTTTTTTTTAATTAAAAAAACTTTTGCCAGGTACACCAGGACAGGCACAAAAGAATACTCACAGCAATATAATTCGGGTGGGCAAAAGCCGGGGACATCTTAAAGATTTAATAACAACAGAATAGACAAACAACAAATTATAATATGCATACACAATGGAATACTATTTAGTAGTACAAAAAAGCTGTAATCACATAGATACATTTTACCAACTAAAGTAGTGTAAAAGAAGCAAGACACAAAAGAATACACATAGATGATTCCATTTGTATTAAGTTCAAAAACCTGCAAAACCAAATTACTGTATACTATTTTTTAAAAATGTATTGTTTAGGCATTCCACAGGTAGGTGGTAAAATTATTCAGACCAAAAAAAAAGGAAATGATAACCAAAAACATCAGGATGACTAGTCGCTCCCTCTGGAGAAGATAGAGACAGGGACAACTGGGGACGTTCAGGACCCAGGTGTCACTTTGTAATTATTTGTTATTGAGTACTTGTGTGTTTTATGCACTTTTCTGAATACCTGGTATATTTCACAATTGAAAAGCAAAAAGAAAAACTTGGGCCTATGTGTGTATTTTTCTATATTTTGAAATGGATTCTGATCATCAGCCAGGTTTGGGAACAGCTCTAAGGAAATTCTTTCTGTTTTGCCACTGCAAGTTACCCACCACCACTACCACCGTCCCTCCTCTCGCCTCTGAACTGGAGGTCTGAGACACAAGTGAAAAACACCGCCTAGGTTTCCTGTCTCTTTCCCACTGGCTGTGTCCTGGCGGGTGACAGGGCCACACAGCCATGCGCGCGCACACACGCGCGCGCACACACACACACACACACACACACACACACACAGCACAAAGTGACCCAGGAGGTTACGTGCCGGCTCTCAGGGACCTATTCCCTTGCCAGCTGTGGCCTCTCTTTCTTGCTTTCTCATCCTATTTACCAAACCAGATTTGGCCTAAGGTGCACCGTGGCCTGGACATTATGTTTGTCTGGTTAGCCTGGAATGCCTGCAAGGAGACATTTCCAGCTGTAATGGAGAGAGATGCTAAGTGACTAAAGAAGTCCAAGTCCAGAAAGATGAAAAACATAAGAAAGACCTGAGTTGTATACTAACCTAGAAATTGGAACAACCTGAGCTATAAACCTCCTCACTCATGGCATCCTTCCAAAGCCTCAGCAACCTAGGCCAAGGAGGCACACAGTGGCCACCTCTCTACAGCAACTCCTACTTTGAGATCTGCTAGGAATTTCCATGTGGATGTCCAATAAGTGCTTCAAATTCACACACCCCAAACTGAAGCTACGCTTTCTTCTTAAACCTGTTCCTCCACCAGCACTCTCCATCCTAGTAGAAAGAAAGTGTACCACCTTCCATCCAAGGCTCCTGCCCATTCACGCTCCACTTCCAACACCTCAGTAGTCCTCTAATACTTGGGGATCTGTCCAACCCTGCATTCTGCTACCTCAGTCCTGACCACCATGAGCTTCCACCTGGACTACTTTACCCAGGCCCCGATCAAGCAGCAGGCTCCAGGCTTTCCTTACACTGGCAGTTTCTTCATACCACGTCCAAAGAGATCCTTCAAAAATGCAAAATGTAAATACAACCTCTCCCTTGCTTAAGAGCCTTCAATGGCTCCTTATCACCTTCTGATAACATCCAAACTCAATATGGGGTATGAATTCCTTTACTTTATAATTCACATGTTATCTGTCACAATTCTACCCTTCACAAGATTTGATTCAGTTCTACTGCAATTATTATGTTTCTTTTTTATTTTTACAATTATTTTTATTTATTTATGTATTTGGTGTACTGGGGAATTGAACCCAGGGCCTTCACAATGAGCTACATCCCAGCCTTTCTTCCTTTTTTTAAAAATGTAGTATTTATTTTGAGACAGGATCAAGGCTGAGCTTGAACTCACAATCTTTGTTCCCAAAATGCTGGGATCATAGGCGTGTACCACCACGTGTGGCTTATTGGATTTCTTAACTAACAAGCCCTCTTCCCTCTAAACCTTTATACATGCTATTTATTTGTTCTTCCCATTCCTCTCTGTGCCAACTCTCCCTTGGTTAATTCCTGCTTATTTCTCAAGTCATGAATTAAATGTCAGTTCTTCCCTTGCTCCCCCAAACCTTTTGCATTCTTACAGCAACTATAATGTCACAGTACTTTCCACAAGTTTTGCTAAAGCTTGCTTAATTGTCTGTCTTTGTCTTGACAGCAAAGGGGTATCTGTGTTCTTATCTTTATGTGCCCCAGAACCTGTTCCAAGATATGACATACAGAAGCGCTCAATATCTAACTGAATGAATGAATGAGTTAGCTGTATACTCAGCACTCTGAGGCTCTGGGGAGAAAAAAAAAAAAAAAAAGAAGACCAAGTCTCTACTCTCAAAAGTTTACAGATGAAGATAACCTAGATCATCTTCCTCTTTCACCAATAAAACCACCTTCAAGAGCCGAGTGACAATGACCACATCTAACACCAAATCAAGACCAACTCAGGAAAACAAACAAACAAACAAACAAAAAAGCCCCGCTAGTTAGAGGTTCCTACTAAAGACCTGGCTGTGACTCTCTTAAATGGCTTGTGTTCAATCTTCCCACTACTGAGCCAGCTCACACCAACACTTCACAGGAGAAAGCAAAAAGCATGTGGCCAAACACACAAGGATACAAGACTAAGGTGAGAGATGGCAGACAGCAAAAGGAAGAGCTCAGAGTGCAGAAGAAGGAACTTGGAAGATGGTATCCATGAGACAGGGCTGCATTCTGTAGAGATCAGGTTCTGAAGTCAGCACCTAAAACAGAAGCCATGTGTAACCAACAGCAGCTCTGAAAAACCTGTAAGTTACTATAATCCAAGTTCTACGTGATTTGGCACATATACTCCGTAATAAGAGTATATGCTGGGCTCAGTGCTCACAGCTCTGCCGGACCCTGCCTTGCCATTGTGTGAGATTTGAATCTACACAACCAACAGATGGTTCTAACTCATGCACCTTCTGCCAAAACCTTTTGCTAGCTCAGCAGCTGTTTACAGGAGTAGTGGCTGGAAAAGGTCCATCCCCGTCCTCCTTGACCTGATGATAACTATACAGTAGTGATGGCGAACCTATGGCACAGTGGCACAGCAGGCACGCACAGCCCTCTGTCAGCACTGAAGCCAAGTCTCCCTAGCCAAGCATCAGATAATAGTAGTTTTTTCTAAACTAAAACCTCAGTATTCAGCTTTAATTGCAGTGTTGGCACTCTGTGATAAATAAGTGGGTTTTGGATTGCAATTTGGGCACTCGGTCTCCAAAAGGTTCACCATCACTGCATTATAGTAACTTACGGATTTTTCAGAGCTACTGTTGGTTACACATGGCTTCTGTCTTCTGCGCTGACTGCAGAGCTTGATCCCCACATAGGATGCAGCTCCGCCTCATGGACACCACCCTCCAAGTTCCTCCTCTAGCATCTGCACCAAGCCAGGAGCCCTATGGCCTTGTCCAAAATTCGGTAAAAGCTGAGAACTCCACTGGCCAGGTTGACAATGACAGGTAGCCTACCAACATTGGCCCCTGTGGGATGGGGAGCAGAGCTAAGAGATGGGGCACCTCAGGCCTGTCAAAGAAGGGGGCTCTCAAGTCTGCTCTTGGCTCCTGATTTTCTTTTCTTTTTCAGTTAATCATACTGCATGGAGCAAGGGGTGACAAGGCCAATTCCCTTCCGGTATCCTCCAGGGCTCTAGTCCAGAAGAGTGACAAGAGGGAGATTATCCCCTCTACACTACTAAGCAAAGACTTGTTTGGGTACAGTCTGCAGTTTTCAGGCTCTGCCATGATCCCATCCCAAGGAGAAGGCTCTGGGGCTTCAAACCACGTGGAAGAACCCACAGGCTCTCAACACCCCAAACTTCAGTGTTCTTTCCCAGTCCCGATCTGCCTGAGGATCCAAATTTCCGAGAATATACAAGTAATTGTTAGAATCATCTCCTTCCTTCTACGCCCCTCAGTGTGGATAGAGTGTTCTCACTTTCCGGATGAGCAGACTATGAAAGCAAGACAAAAATCACAGTTCTCTGGACTGTTTATCTCCCAAATCAAGATTCCAGATAGTTCTGGTTGCCTTTCAATTATTCATCACCAGGGGGTTTCTTTTGCTTCACAAATTTGCTCCCACCTTTTCCCTCCAAATGCCTAAATCCCTTCCACCCCATCCTTCCCTTTTTTCCTCTCCAAATCTCCAAATTTTTCTCTCCAATTTCCCCGAGGTCTGAAAATCCCTGAATTCCTGAACCCGGCCTCCAGAGCAGAGAGCGGCTCCTCTTCCTAAAAATGTCCTTTCCTGTGCCTCAGAGCGCCCTCCTCACAGCTCCTCATCCCTCACCCCCACCCCCATCCCCGCCTAGCTCACCCCTGCCCAGGTCCTTTGTGACTGGTTCCCTCAATTTTCTCACCCTCCCGGTCCCATCACCGAGGGTCCCCCTCCTGCACGTAACCTGACCCCCCCCCCCAAAGTTCAGACTCGGTTCTCCACCTCTCCCGGGTGCCGCCACGGCCTCTCCGAAGCTCAGCGTGAGCTTAACTCTTACAACGGGGCCCCCAGCCCACCAACCCACGCCCCCACACCCCCTGGCCCGACTCGGGTGCTTACCGGACCAGAGCACGAGCTTGCCGTGCGCTTCCTCCTGGGAGTCCGAGTCCCCGGCCAGCAGCGTGGAGGTGGCGCCGTAGGGCAGCGCCGAGCCCAGGCACACGTTGTAGCGCAGCGGCTCGCAGGGGGCGGCCCGGCCGCAGTGGCTCAGCAGCGGCGGAGGGCCGGTCCCCGCCGCGCCCCT